CTGCTTCACAGACAGCAAGGGGTGGACCGGGCCCTGCCTCTGATCCCACCCAGCCCTGTTGGCACGCAGGGTCTCAGGGCATGGGAACCCGGCTCCCAGCCTCAGAGCTCCGGCTTTCTGGTCTGAGGGGCGGGGAGAACCCGGAGCTCGTGGGAAGTGCAGAGGCCTGGTTTCCAGTGACCTCGGGCACACCCAGAAGTCGAGAGCCACCGGAGGGAGGGAGCGGATCTGACTTGGACTGGGAGGAGGCAGAGAAGGGACAGCAGGGGAAGCTGGGGACTGTGCTGTGGCTCCCTCACAGGCACTGGCCGGGGGTGCTCTCCGGTGCCCTCCGAGCAGATGAAGGATGGGGACCCCAAGAGGGTCGGGCTTTGGAGCTGGCTTTGTCCTGGAAGCCTCTCGGGGACGCACCTGGGGGACTGCTCAGCTCTGAACCAACAGCAGCAAAGCATGGGGCCCCAACTCATCAGCTCTGAGGATGACACGGGGCTCAGAGCTCAGCTCATCACTGGGATGCCAGATGAAGGCTGCAAAGGATGCTCACAGGCCAGACGGATCGGCCAAAAGAAACGAGAGGGAACTCAACAGGCACAAGCATAACCTCCTCCACTGGGGATTAGAAAGCCACCCTCCCCAGCAGAGCTGGCGTCAGGAAGCGGAGGCCAGGAGCTTCGGGCGCTCAGCACCGAGTTCACCTCACGGCCAGCTGGCTCGGTCCTCAGGTCCAGATTCAGTAACAAAAGTGTTGCCTTTCACCACACTGTTTTCCTTAGCCAGGCTCTGGTAAGTGCCTCTGCCTCTCATGCCTAGGATGCTGGCTTGGTTTTTCTCAGGTTTCTGTGGCTTCAGGGTCGGCCTTGTTCCTGTAGGTCCTCGCTGGGACTGAATTCCGTGCCATCTGGCTGGGATCGCAGCCCCTGGTGGCAGCTGAGCTTCTGAGCCTCCCCTCCTAGCTGCAGGTCCTGTGTGCTCCTGTTCGTGTGTCGTGCGGTGGCTGTTCTCAGGACTGCGTGGGGTGCTGCTGTCACAGTACTGCTGGGGTCGCCCGCTTCCTGGTGCTGCCCCTTCTGTTTTCTTTTGCTGGCCCACCCAGCACCGGTTCTCGGTGATGTTCTGCATGGGACGTGGAAGAGCTGTAGTTCTGATTTCTGTGACGAAGCTTACAAAACAGAACTTGCACCTCACATTGCACTGCACAATTATGCAGTACTTTTATGTACTTTTTTTCAGTGAAATTTGACTATAATCCTATAGATAAGTTTTGGAATCTGTTTTCGAGTGGAGGGCACTGAAGTGCAGGATGGAAAATAACTTCCCCAAAGCTCCACAGCTGTGAATTGGTGGACTAGGGTGGGATCCGGGGCCTTCTGGTGCCTTTGCACCTTTGATGGGCCTGTAGGTAACTCCGCTTTTCTCTGGAGTCCTAGCTTTTCCAGAAGACGCAGGTGGCTGGGTCTGGAAGATAAGGGTTCTGGTGCACGATGGCACTGCAAGGCTGGGGCAGGGACTGTTCCGGGCAACATGTCACCTTTCCTTCCATTGTTAAGCACATCAGCAACCACACGCTGCTTAGCTCGCACAGTAGCCTAAGCAGTTTACTTTCTTGGGAAATACAAGCTGTACAGCCCAGAGCTCCCGGCCATGCTCAGATGGCTGGGTCCCTGGTTGGCAGGCGCCCTGGTTCATTCTCTCCTCTCTGGTTCGTCCTGCCTCACACTGTGGGTGACTTTTTCTAAGCACTGCATTTATTATTGAACATTAAGTTAAGCACCATGCCTGGCTGCAGTGCTCTTCACAGTGTGACCAACCCTAACTCTCTGGGCTCAGTACCAACTACTGTCTTCCCTCTCGTCTCTTTCTCCATGCCAGCTGCTCTTTGTGCTCCTGACTCCTCAGATTGATCAACTTCTTTGTACAAGATTATTACCACTGTAGGCAGCATGCGATGCTCAGCCCATGGCGCTGGAGGGGCTGATTCAGCCAGGGAAAGCACCTGAGCTTGTGTTATCCGTGTGTGTCATTACTGTGGTTAGTAATGAAATACCGGAGGCAGACTACTTCATAAAGCAGAGCCCAGGACACGGGGCCCAGTCGGCTCAGCTCTGCTGAGGATTCAGGGTCATCATGCTGGTCAGAATGCAGAGGGAGAGGAGCACCAGGGGCAGGAGGCTGGGAGGCGCCAGACGGCCTTGCCATGGAGGGCAGGGACTTCCCATGGGCCCCACCTCTCAGAGGTCCACACCACCCCCAAGATCACCACACCAGACTGCCAACATGTGACCTGTAGGGGACACACAAACCACACTGTCACTAAAACAAGTAACGGAGCGCAAAGCCAGGTCCTCAAGTGCGAGAGCACAGACTGGGAGGCCAAACCCTGCAACCATCATCGTCATCATCATCATCATCACCATCTGATGCAAGAGAGGATATCGTGTGAAGTTCATGAAAGTGTGGCTTTATAGGGTCTTGGAGTCTCTTCACTCTGGATCTGAAGGGGATGTGAATAACCTGTGAGACAGAAACCTGTGGAGCCTGTGGACCGAAGACCATGATGGGGGAGGCATCTCGGCTGGTGCCCGATGGAAAGACAACTCCCTAAGGGGTGGCGGTGTGTTGAGCCAACCCTGAAACTCATTGATCGATCAGAGGAAAGGGGAATTCAGAACGGAAATGCAGTTGTAGAAAAACAAAGGAAAGTACATTTCTTGCATCAGACTGCAGCCCTGAGAGGTTGGGCCTGCTACATGGGAAGTCACGTGGTCATGTAGTGTCCTCCATCTGTACCTGACAGACTTGAGTAGTGGTTTCCCCGAAACACAATCCCCAACCTAATCCCGGGAATCTGTGGATTCTAACTTACTTAGCAAAAGGGTCATGGAAGATGTGATTAAATTCAGGATCTTGAGACAAAGAGATTATCTAGGGACAAAACATCTGACATTCACAGTGTAAAGGAGAGGTTTATTTTTGTTTGAGGTCTCAGCCCATGAGTGGAGTCCAGGGCTCCAAGGCAGGAACCTCATGGTGGCAGGGTGGGAAGGAGCAGAACTGCTAGTGCACGGCGACTGGGAAACAGAGCACAGGGCAAGAGAGCCAGAGAAGGCTCCAAGGCACACCTCAGTGACCGCCTCCAATGGGGCCCCACTCCTAACAGAGCACTCAGCTGTGAGCCTCAGTGCTGTGATCCATGGAGGAGAAGAGCACCCCACGGCCCACTCACCTCTACAGGCATCTCCACCCAGCCGCGCTGACTCGTGGTGCTGACTGGCACACGGGATGAGTGCTACATGCCATGACAAGAGTCCCAATAAGAGGAACCCGGAGGAGACACACACACAGAGAAGGGGACGTGCAGGCAGAGGCTCAGGCCCAAGAGGCTGGGAGTTAAGGGTGCTGATGTCTTCCGGAAGCCGTGGGAGCCAGGAGTGTTTCTGTCTGCAGGCACCAGGAGTGAGGCCCTCTGCACTTCGACCTCAGACTTCTCGCCCCCAGCACCGGGACGATGACTTGTTTGAAGCCACCACATTAGCAGTAATTTATTACAGCAGCCAAGGAAACTAACACAGTGCCACGTCTGTCTTGCTAGAAAGCTTCCTCCCATGGGCATTAAAGATATGATAAATGTGATACATTGAGATGTAGAGTATTTTATGTATGTATGTTGGGGGAATTCCTAACAGAAAAGCACAGAAAATAACAAAAACCAGTTTTAAAAATGTGAGGAAGAGTTAACTAAGCCACAGGCATTGTTGTCCACACACTGTAGATATTCAGATATTTAATATTTGTTGATTCGGTTCTTTGCCATTACACTAAAAATCCAGAGGGAATGCCAGACAATTTCAACTGTAGGAAGCTGTATTCTATAGCTACATTCTCCTAACAACATCTTCCTGATGGATGACTACAGTTTCTTAAGAAGGATCTCTTTAAATAATATTTATATAACATCTAAATAATGTAGCACTAGCATTTTAATGTCCAAAGACAGATGTGGTCTTTCTGGACGTGCCCGTTCCATCAACAATGACTGAATGCTCCGTGTAGCAATCATGCTGCACATAAGCCTAGTAAAATAATATTCTTAACAAGATTAGCAATCTTCTGAATCGTATGTTCCTAAGCATTGCACTTAATTTAAAGTTTTCTGTAGTGATTAAGTGGTCTCTCACACATTTTATATTTTACTCATTCTTGGCAAACTACGATTTTGCAAACTGAATACAAAGTCACTCAGCTTTCTTAACACCAGTTCCAACGAAGTTGTCAGTTAACCCACTTATTCTTGTCATTAATGCATTTCACAGCTTTTTTTCTTTTAGAAAGGAGTTATATTAGCATTCCTAAGAGCATTTTAAAATAATTCCAGCTTAGTTCACTAAAAGTCCATTAAAATTACTTGGACAAGAAGACTGATTATGTTTCTTTTGTAGACAAATAATGAGACACCAGAAACACTAACGGCACAGACACGGGCGGTGAATACATAACTCCAAGTGCCCTAATGAAAATTGAATATCAAGTTAATTTTCAATCACCCACATGCTTGCTAGCTTTTGGCTAATAGTACATTTAATGGAATTTTAAATTTTTCTGCTAAAATACAAAAACCTCTCTATTTAATAGACTGTGAGTACCATGAGAACCAGCCCCTAATTTTATCTGTGTGACTTTGACAAATTACTTAATCTCTTTCTGCCTCAGTTTCTCAGTTTTCAATGCAATTAGGAGAACTCCAGCATAAGCTTCAGAGACAGTGAGAGACTGCTGGTGTCCAGGAAGCAGAGCCCGGGCCTGGTGCAGTGCTGCATTGAGCTGCTGCCTGCCCAGGCCTGGAGCTGGCCGTGCCCTGTGAGTGGAGACAGCAGCGCAGAGCCCCCGCGGGAGACGGTGCACGCACACTCACAAACGGAAGTGCTTCTTTTGTTCTAATGCAGCAGAGGTGCGTCTTCCTTAGCCATCCTCTCTCTGGATTTTAGATCCTGAGTGGGCTGGGGGCAGAGGTAGAAAGAATGTCACAAATTAAATTTCCAGCCTCTCACCCACAGTCAGGGCAAGAGTGGCAGAGATGTCGCACACCTGGGTGTGCGCGTGACCTTACCGTCATGAAGGGGGTTTCACTCACCTCTTCTCTGTAGGGTTCTGGAGCCAGGAGTGGGGTGGGTCTTATCTGACGGATACTCGGGGAGAGCAGAGCATGACTTGGGGACACTGTCCCCAAGGGTGTGGCTGAATGTTTTGTTCTTTGAGGAAATGAGTATTTAATTCAACAACTTTAGTGTGTGTGACTAAAATTCACTTAGCACAGTTTGGAAGACAGACTACTCGAAGTCAGGGAGATATAACAAGGCTAGTGTGCAGCAAGTGAATTCAGTCCTTAAGTCTGTCTCAGTGCAGCAGTTCTGGGCCTCCTCTTCCTCCATCCAAGAGGAGCAGTTATTAGAGGAAAAGGAGAGATAGGAACCAGGCAGGCTTTGTACAGTGGGCTGAAGTGGGGTCAGTGGCAATGCCACCATATCAGAAAACCAATCTTGTGATGTAAGAGCCATTTGTGACAGGTGGGTTCAGTATAAAATCCCTGAGCTCGGAGGCCCTGGGAATTGCTTAGGCAGTCAACATATTAGGAGCCGATCACAAACGGAATGAAACCAAGTGAGGTGGGCACAACATAGAAGCTGGACAGAGACAGCAGCTAAGAGGTAGCAGATCCAGTGGAAATTAGGCACCTGAACAGAAACATGAATAAGAAGCTAGAATTCTACGCTGCTATGGCCCAGAGCTTGAAGGGACAAGATCGTAGAGGAAGGTGAGCCATAGAGAAGACAGCCCAACACTAGGGGAGTGCGGAGATACAAAGAAGCAGAGTAAAATTGGCTCAAAGTAGAGAGCAATTCTGTGTAGCACTGTGTGTTGGAGAGACAAAAATTGGAGCTTAGGAGTTGGCAAGGAGAAAGGGTCCCAGGAGACAATTCCAGTTGCCAGACTTGTCAGGTACAGACATAAACAACAGAGATTAACATCCAATACAATAAAGGAACAAATACAGAATTTTATAGGAGAATTGGAATTGTTAAGAAATGAAATGGAAACTTTAGGTAAGAGATTGTTATAACACAAATACAAGAATTAAGTAGATGGCCAGGGATTTAGCTCAGTGGTTTCACTGCCTACTGCGCAAGTGCAAGGACCCAAGTTCGATCCCTGGTACCAAAAGAAAGAAAGAAAGAAAGAAAGAAAGAAAGAAAGAATTAAGTAGATGGGCATGAGAGGAGATTGGATCTTGCAGAAGAGAGGATCTATAAACTGGCAGATGATCAGTGGGAAATATCTAACTTCAAAGGTTAAAAGTCAAAATGGTGAAAAGTATAGAAAAGTGGGTAAGAGATTTATAGGGCATGGCCTTAACATATGTGTAATTGGAGTCCTAGAAAAGAGGAGAGACTGAAGTAGAAGCAGTGGAAGAAATGCTAATGGCTGAGAATGTTCAGAAACCAATAAACAACATCAAGTCACACAATCAAAAAGCACTCTCAATCCGAAGAAGAATAAGCACAGTGAAACCACAGACACATGGTAGGAGAGGTATGGAAAACCAGAGAGAGAGAGAATATTAACATCCCGTGGAAAATAAGGACCTTGACTTCAGAAGAGAAGGACATGACCGACAGCTGGCACCCTAATGGAAAAATCAGAATCTGGAAGACTATACCTGCCAACTAAGAATTCTGTACCCAGAACACATATCCTTTAAAGGTAAGGCTGAAATGGAGATATTTCCAGACAAAGTGACAGAAGCCATCATGAGCAGGAAAAGGGGGGAAAAAAGAACAAAGATAAATAAGAGCAAAAAAGAGAGAACAACACAAATAGTATATACAATTAGTTGAGTTCCAGTACATTTCTAAAAATTATGAAGATGTGTCAACTCACATAAAGAAAACCCAAAGTGTCTTACTTTCTCACTGCTAAGACACAACACTTGGCACCCGGAAGTTAAAGGAGGAAAGGTTTGCTTCAGTACAGTTCGTAGAGGTTTCAGGCCACAGCAGCTGGCTTCAAGGCAGGGCAGCCTGGCAGAGAGGCATCGCAGGGGAGAAACAGTCTGTGGGAGGGCAGGAAGCAGAGAGGGATCGAGGGCGGGGAGGCATAGACCTCCTTCCGGGCCACGCCCGCACTGACCCGCCTGCTCCCACCAGGCTTCCTCTCCGGCGTCACAGCCAGCTATAAACCGTCCGTGGAAGACCCCGGGGTCACTCAGCCGTGAGCCAGTCACTCCCCAAAGCCCACCTATGATCACACAAGGCTTTGGGGGCACATCTAGGTGTAAGCCATAACAATAAGGCTTGGAGGTACAATAGGTTTAGGCATATAACACTTAAAATTTCACTGCCGACACAGAATAAAATAGGCCTAACCCTAATATAAACTGCAGCAAGTATTTATATATGTTAAGTGGTTAAAACACATCAATTCTTGGATAAATATGGCATTTTATCTTGAAACAGACCAGAGTTTTAAAAATGAGACTGAGTGTCAAGAGGGCTGCACCCTGCCCATTATCAGAGAAAGCCCAAGGAAGGTTGTCAGGAATTGGGCAGGAAGTGTAACACCCGACGTCGGGCGTGGCTCGCTGCATGCCTGGCTAACTGAGATCGCTGACACAGCTGGAGATAAGTGCACGTGTACATATTGTGGGTTTTATGGTCAGATAAGCTGAGCAGTATTTTTTTATTCACTTGTGTCTCTCATGAATAAAATTGAGCAAAAGTAAATGAAAAATACACATTATCCTAACCTCTAATATATCAATGGCACCAAAACGAATTCATATTTTCAAAGCAAGCATTATAGAAGAGTTGACTCAATATAAGGAAATTTAAATGAATATTGGCTGCACAAAACAACAATAAAAGTATATATAATTAAATTTCTGGCAGTAAAAGCATAGGAGGTTGAGAGAGAGGAATGTTATTAAATTTCCTATGATTACGTTATGGTCTAGGAAATGAACATAGTATTATTTATATTAGGTCCTAATAACTCAAAGGGCACGTGGTAATCTCCAGGGATAAAAGAAAGCATAGCTAAGAAGGTAAGAGGACAATAAGGGGAATTATAAAAGAAATACTGATTAGAGCTAAGCAAAAGCAAGAAATGAAAGAAAAACAGAATAAATAAAACACATAGTAAAAGGATAGTTATAAACTTAAATATATCAGTAAGTACAATAAATGAGAGAGATCTAAAAACTCTAATCAAAAGACAGAGATTATCAGATTGTCTTTAAAAAATCCTCCATGCTATAAGAGCCAAAATTAGATCTAAGCAAGCACAAAGACTGGAAATAAAATAATGCAGATGACACATTAAGGGTATTGACAAGCTCTTGCTGCCGTAGCCGGTCACCAAGACATGGCTTCAAACAAATTTATTATCCCACAGTTCTTGAGGCAAAATCTGAAATGGGTTTTATGGGGCTAAAATCAATGTGTCATAGCACTGTGTTCTCCTGCAGGCCTGTGGGAAGAGTCTTCTGTCCCTTGCCTTTGTACATTTAATTCAAAATATTTCTATTAGGACTCGTTTGCAGCGCAGGATCACCACATTTCTCATGGGGAGCCGGTGCAGGTGCAGAAGGTACCCCAGTTCTTTTACTTGCCCTTCCCTCCCCTTCTTCCATCTCTCGGTCCCTTTCCCGCCTGGCCTCCGGGCTGCCTGCAGCCTTCGGCTTGCAGAATGGCTGTACTGTCCACATCTCCGCTTTCCCTATACCTGCTTCTCACAGGAACTTGTAGCACTCCTTGCTGGTGTACACGGACCACTGCTCTCCACCCGACGGCAGCACCAGGCACAAATGCACGTGAAACTCCTGCAAGTCATAATCTAAGTCTCAACACATGTTGAAGGACTGGAATCCTTGATAAGGTAGCTGATCAAATTGTAATTAAGGTTGAAACCAAATACACAAAGATAACTAAGAAATCCTTTAAATGTTTGGAAATAGTGCATGACTCAAGGAGAAAATAATCATGGCAATTAAAAATATTTGAACCGAACGATTCTGAAACTATGTCATTAAAACTTGGGGGTTGCAAGTACATCTGTGTTAGGAGGCAAATTTATAGCCCTGAGTCCTGTATGATAAATGAAGAAAAGCTAAAAATCAATGACCTAGCACTACAAAAATTATAAGATGAAAGAAATTACAGTGTATTGACTAATGCTATTCTTCAATTAATTTGTTATGAAATTTTGTTTTATTTTTCATAGAAATAAGAAGGCTTTTCTTTGGTATCGGGAATCGAACTCAAGACCTTGCACCTTCAAGGTAGGTGCAGCACCACTGAGCTAAATGCCCGGCCCAAGAAGACTGTTTTTAAAAAATATTTTCTTCATTAATATCTACTCATATTACACTGAAATAAAGTTTTTC